CAGAGTCCTCTGTCTCTGAGACCAAAGAAACATGTCTTGAGCTGTCACCTTTCTAAAAGCACCTACTAAAGACAATATTGCTGTGCCACTAACTGAATATTTCTGTAAAAAACTGAAAACTAATTTTTTTTTTCAGCCAAAAAGTAACTGTCAAATGTTTGTTTTCCTTGGCAAAACATCAACCTAGGAAAGTTTCAAGTCACCCAAAATGTTTGATGGCACTGAAAACAAGCCTAATACACCATGTTAGTCTGGGAGATTTTATTTTTGAGTCACATGTAGCCGAACCAGGTTACAAAACATTTCACTGCAAAACATTAAAACGAGATTTTCAAGTAAAAATAGTGTCAGAAAAAAAAAAGTTCAGATGCAATTTTTTGGGGGGAGGGGCAATAAATGCTCCTCCTGTTCTTTACTAATATTCTTTATTTCAGAGAAATATTCTTAAAAAAAAAAAAAAAACAAAAAAAAAAAAAAAACCACAAAAAAAACAAAAACCCAAGCCCCAGGCAATATCAGTTTTTCTGAGCTTAAAACTCGAGGAAAAAAATGCTCCCATTAGTCTTTGCTGGCAGGAAACCAGAGACATCGGGAATTTCCAGCGTGCAGCCTGCTCCCACCAGGACTCACAGCCAGCAGCGTGAAAACGACAAAATGAGCTGATAAATCCCGATGTGAGCTATTTTTAGCTCAAAGGACAACGCTTTTGGGGAAGATTGTTCCTTCCTGTCCTCTCTCCACAGCTCCCCCGTGTAACTCCAGCAAGGTTTRAAAACGTTTCTCTGGGAATAATGCACGGAGCTAGGAAGGCTCTCCAGCAGGAACAGATCCTTGGGATGCGATCAGACAGAAACACAACTTTGTTTTTGCGTTTGTGAGTCATCTGATTGGAGCTAAACATAGAGAAAGGAGCATTTCCAGGATTTGGCCTTTGGCAGCAGTGAGGCAGCTCAGGATTGAGGAGGTGTTTGGCAGCAGAGCTCTGCTGGCTGCTCATTTTGGGTAGGATCGGTAAATTCGGTGTCTRAGCCTCTCCAGGGTGCTTTGGTCCTCGTCTGCTGTGTGTTCCAGCCATTTCCTTCCCCCAGTTTAAGGCTCCAGTTCCTGCTCTGCTCTGTGAGGTGACTGCACCAAATCCTTCTGTGTGGGGGTGGAGGAGTGCCAAGTGTGCCAAAAAGCACTTTGTCACATCAAAAATCTCTTTCACATCGTAAGCAAGCTCCTTCTCAAAACCCTGTCARCTTTTGGAGGTTTTAGCCCAAGCTTCTCTTCCTGGAAGGCTGTTCCAGAGCTGGATCCTCTGAAGGATAAGGATGTTTTTTCTCTCTGATTCTTACCCTAAATTTATTTGTGGACAGCTATTACCCATTTGTCTTTAAGCCAGCCTTAAGTAGCATTTTTACCTCACAGATGTCCCCCTCCAGTTCTCCAGTTCTCCCTGCTGGCTTTTCCARAGTTGCCCTTGGAGGGTGTCTTTGCTGAGATAAATGGGGACCCCTATCCCTCTGAGGGGCTGGATTCTCAAAGGTTCTCTGGGCTTGTCACACTCGTGAGCCAAGATTGGSTTTTTCACATCGGGTGCTGCACTTACCCGTTTTTTGAATTGCCGTGACTGAAGTAATTTCATGTCTTGTTCCTCCAGCTCTCCACCTGTGGATCAGGAACAGGGAACACAATCACTTCATCACTAAACTTGACAAAATGCCAGGCAGGCCAGCATTTTACTTCAAACACAACCTTTTTATCACCTTTTTTTTTTTTTTTTTTTTTCCCCCAAGTGAGAGCCTCGATATACCAGAGAAATAATTGGGCTGGCTGCCACATTTTAACAGGAAGGATTTCAGAGTGCCACAGAGCACCTCATGGCAGCTTCATCTGGCCTTACATCTTGCTCCTGTTTGGCAGGGTGGCCCACACCACATTGCCACAGCAATTAATCAGCTCAGGTTCTCGCTGGGATCGCCGTGTGGGTGTCAGCTGCAAAAAGCGATTTGCTGACTCAGCTTTTTAGCTGTGAAGAGACTTGACAGTGCCCACTGAATCCCCAAAACAAATACCTGAAACCTGGAAACAGGAGCAGTTTTAGAAGCAGGTGTGCACTGCAAAATGAGAGCTGAAATCCGTGCAACCACTGAAAAATCGCCCAATCTTTGCTTTTGAGTCACCTTCAGAGCAAGGTAATGAAACCCTTCTGGCTTTTTGAGGCTGGGATGTAGGATGGCCRTGGCTTTATCCATTATTTAATACCACTCTTGCCTGTCACAGCCTCGTCTGATGTTTGAATCGCTTGGGTTTGGCTCTTCACTCATGTGCCACAAGGCACAAAAATCTCAAATTCCAGGTTCTTCCAATTCCTCTCCTTTCCTTGGTGGTTTTCACACTGCAGGGACTTGTGGAAGCAAAACACAGGGAAGGTTGAAATCAGCCCTGCTTAGAACCAAATATAACCTGGAAATGTTGTGCCTAAAACCCTCAGGGATGTTTTTAAGTAAAAGCATTGAAAGYTCTGAGGGAAGTAGTGCAAGGCTTTCACTCCCTTTTGAGCATTCTCTTGAAAGCTCCAGTGAAATAAAAAGATGTTCAAATGTGAATRTGTGTCTGCTCATTTTGTACAATCTCTGCTGAAGCGAACTCCGCTGGCAGCCTCTCGCTGTTCTCCCTGTGGTGATGGGGTGGAGGGGAGATGGAATCGCTCTGTGGGGGCTCAGCTTCTTTTTGGGGTGAAATCACCACGGCTGGTTATTCTCTTTCCTGGATAAGGGAAGAAAAAAATGTATTGAACCTCCCTCTTTAATGGCATCTTCCTTTACAACTTCTTGCTTGTAGTCTGTAGTTACAAAGCACTTCACGCWTCCTTAGCCTTTCAGAAATATTCAAGCAACTTAAAAGCCTACATTCTGGAAAAAAAAATTATTTATGAACATATGTTTTATATTCTAAACTCTTGAGTTGTACATAAGGATGGATCTTTGGCTGGTGAGTTACTTCGTGGCCTTACAGAAAAAAATAGATTATTTATTATTTCCACCTCGAAGATGGTGAGGCTGAAGCAAACTTTTCTGCTGATTTGTGTCTTGTTTGCTACTTTGCCAAAGTAGTGCCTGATTGGACACTATTTCCTGGCTGTTTTTCATGAAGATGGAAAGATAAGTACTGTATTTGTTTTCATGGTGTGGGCAAATTGGGAAACGATGAAGAAGAGGCTGGAAATATTAGATGGACAGGATGCCTGGATGAGAAATATTCATTTGCTTGCACAAAGTCTTGTGAAAACTCCTGAGTCCTGCTGTTCCTCCAAGCCACTGCTGTAGGACTGTAACAAGGAAGAACAAAATAAACTTTGAAAAACCCCAAAAAACCAAAAAAACCAAAACCAACCAGCCAACCAAAAAAACACCCCAAAAAACTGAAACAAACCCCCTCCAAACAACAGAAAACCCACCAATAAAAAAAACCAAAAACACAAAAAACCCTAAAGAAACCCCAACCAACCAACCAAAAAAAACCCAAAAAACACCCCAAAATGAAAAAAGATCCCCAGACAAAACAAAGAAAAATGTAAAAAGCAAACAAGCAGACAAAAAAAATACCACCCCCAAAACCACACAAAAAAAACCCCAACACAACCAAAAAATGCAATAATAACCAACCAGTGAAACAAAAAAAAACAACCCAAAAGCCAAACAAAACCTAAGAAGGCTGCTGGAAATTAGGGCATTAACAGGTGAAGAGATGAACTTACATCCTCAACCCTAGCTGGTGGAGCTGAAGAGACTGGACTTTCACTGTAGCACACTCGGAGAAATAAGAGGGCCAGACTGTTTAGGGATTGCCTGACCCTCACCTGGTTCTGGTGTCCAGAAAAACCCATAAAAGGATGCTGCAAAACAGGTTTGACCAAACCCTACAGRACTGGCAAAAATTACAGGGCTGGGTAGACTTCCTGTTCAAATATTGACTCGTGTGACAAGAATTTTTTTTTAAATTAAAAAATATGCTATTGTAGGAACGTCTTTCACCTCTGCCACCTCAAATCCCGTTTATAGAAACGTGGGTGTGGGGGTTTGGTTCAATCCCAACCTTTGCTTCAGCAGATGACTTTCTGTTTAGCAAGATTAATTCCCTCTTAATAAAAATAACCTTGTGTGCACTGAACTCTGCTTAAATGTGGTTATCTGAGAGCAAGATGAAAATGGGTTTGCGAATACTACGAGTGGAATGCAAAAAAAGAATCCTGAAATAGCATGCAGAATGTGGAAAAATTTTCTGCAGACTCGTTTGCATATTGAGAAGGGAGTTTCTGAGCAGTGGGCAGGTGCAAGGGGCTGCACTGCTTAAAACACCTCTCGAGGCAGCCTTTACCACAGCTGAATAAAGGATGTCRTGCATGCAGGTAGAGCTGAACACCAGCAGGATGCAGGGGGCAGAGATTCAGGTCTCTAGTGCTGCCTAAAAACACAGGAAAAACCTTGCAAACAGTTAAAAGCAGTTTTTAATGAAATATTYCAGGTGCAGGAATGCACAGGCGCAATGCAGGATTTCTCCAGTTTTTACAATGTTAATTATTGAGTGTATCCAGCACATACATCCAACAGGAGATCAGTTCACCCAGGATCTGTCCTTGGATTTAGTCCAGGGGATTTGTTTGTCCTGTATCTTGTTATGKCTCAMATTCTGGTGAAAAACAAGGTGTTCCTGTCAGAAGTTCTTTTCTTGAGAATAAGACTGAACAGAATTTTAAGAGCGTGTCAGAAAGGGTCAGCTTGTTATCATAAAATATGAGGGAGGGCAAGAAAGCAGAAACTACATGATTATATATTAAAACCCCACAAAGTTACAAATACAGGTTTGTTATATATTTGCTGAAAATACAAAAGCTGAAGACCTCTGGGCATCACCGGGRACATCCAAAACCCCACACTGGTGCTTTGCAATGATCCCCTCATCTCACCCAAAACACCCTCCCCATGCTGACCCTTGCGTGTGCATTCTGCCTGCAGTGGCTGAGGAATCCAGGCCCCCAGCACGAGAAGAGGACCCTTTTTGGGGATGTGGTGTGCTTCCTGTTCATCACCCCRCTGGCCACTGTCTCGGGCTGGCTGTGCCTGCGCGGCGCCGTGGACCACCTGCACTTCAGCAGTCGGCTGGAAGCTGTCGGCCTCATTGCACTCACCGTGGCACTCTTCACTATTTACCTCTTCTGGACACTGGTGAGTATCAGGGGGTTTTATTTRTTTATTTATCTCGCAGGGRTGTGAGAAAGAGCRAACGAGAAGGTTAATTGCTCAGGGTGTAATTGTGGAATCTCATGGGAACGCGTGGACCGTGGCACAGAGCGTTGCTCCTGTTCGCCTCCTGTGATGGTAAGCGCTGACTAAACCTTCAAGAAACCTTTTTTCCCCACACCATTCGAGTTCCTTGGGCCAGTTTGCTTCGGGGTAGGGATTCTCAAGCCCCAAACACAGTGGCGACAGCAAGAAGGAGCCAGGGAGCATGGAAGAGTCGAAGGTGCTACAGGAGGGAGTTGGATGGAATGAAATGTGCAAAGGGTGAAGGCACAGGGCATGAAAAAAAATGATTTAGGTGAACAGCTTGGCTGCCACAGAAGATTTTTTTTTAATGGAACATCTTGCCAGTTTCACAATCCAGAAGTGTTGGATGTGGGTGCATCCCACACTTCTCCTCACGCTTGTGGTGCTGCAGGAGGTGCTCAGCTGGATACAGACACAGCCAGGTCTGTACAAACACAGCAGACCCTGCAGTGCGGGTTAAAGTGCATCCTGCTCCACATCGTGGGTCACCTGCGAGTCAGTCCATCCTGAGAGACACTTGTTCTGTGTCAGGTTGTGACACTGAGATCATTTTTTCAGGGCACTGACCTGCAGCTAGCCCAGCAGCACGAAAGGGACATAAGGGACAGCTGCCAAAATCGGTGTTTATCAAGCCGCGGTCAAGCAGTTCAGTGAAAATCCCAGGTTCCTGCTTCGTTTGGCATCTCACATCCCTCTGAGTGTGGTGTGGGACAGGGAAGGGCAGAGTGGGTGATGGGRAGCACTCAGCAGTGCCTGTGACAGGATCAGGCTGCGCTGCTGGGGCAGGGAGAGCCACTCTGCCTGCAGTGAAGCCTAAATCCGGCTACCTAAAACAGGCTGGACAAAATTCAGAGAATCCAAAGCAGTTTTATTTATTGCAGGGCCTTCAGGTGCATTGAGGGCAGTCCCAGCCCACACCCACAATGGACAGTGGCTCACGGGTTTTTCGCCCTTTCTCACTTTTGTCCATTTGCACATCGGGGCTGAATCCTCCAATTGCAGCTCAGCCAATGCAGTCATTGACTCCACGTTGGCTCCCCCAATTCTCTGTTGTTTCCATCTCTTGGGCCTGGCACAGTGAGGTGTCCTTGAGTTTGGGGCTGCAGAGGAATTGTTTTGTGTAAAAATGGGAGAGCAGGAGCTCAGCGCTGTCTGTGGAGTCTGGAGTTAAAACTCTAAAGAATTACAGGGTTACAGATACATGAAAAATACAGAAGTTGAAATCCTAATGCATCAGTGGTGCTGGCRTGGCCACATCCTACAGGACAAAAGCCAAAACGTTGGCCAATTTACCTAATACACTTAACTCACCACCACCAAAGCTGTTGGAAGCTGTAAAATGCAATTTTTAGTTGGATTTAATTAGCTGTGACACGTGGACTTAACCATCCAACCTTGATTATTAAGACTACTGCAGCATCTCAGCTTCTGTCCCTGGGTATTGCATTTGCAGAGTGAGAGGCAAAAAATCCTTTTATTCACTTTATRAATCTTACTCCTTCAAAAGCATGCAGAGAAATGTGCTACTGACATGTTTGGGGCTGATAGTGAGCCTGATGTAAATGATTTAATCAAAATTCAGTGTCTTTGATGCCCACTCAGTTGTGGACAGCGGTAACTCCACTCTGATTATCCAGGGCAGTAGGAGATGGAYGGGCTAAGGGAGCTCACCTGGGAGCCTCTTAGGGAACTGAACCACCAAATTACTGAATTTTGGAGACACAAAACTCCCCTCAGTGATGCAGGAAAGCCCCAGCCTGGGTTTCCCTGCAGGAAGGGGTGGAATCACAAACAGAAATATTAATTCCATCAAATTCTGCAGCAGCGAAGCCTTGGGACTTTTGGGATTGGGGAAAATGCCATTACACGGCTGTGCAGGGAATAGGCTGAGTGCTGCAGGGTAAAATACTCACAGGAGGATACAACATTCCTTCAGTTCCTGGGAAAATTGAGCGAAATAAAACCTCATTTTCCTCTCTGGAGGCAAAAGCTGGCGTACGGATTATTTACACACCACGAGCAGTGAACAGGAGGAATGTTATTTTTAGCACCCCACAAGTTGTTTTATCCCTCCTTCTAAAACAGACAAGTTACCCATAAAACACTGTTGCATTTATACTGTTTTTTTTATGTGTGTGCACCCAAAACGTTGGGAAGTTGGGAAACTGCTTAGTAAACCMAAGCTTTAGAGTTGCCCTCAGACAGCGGTAAAAAAAAAATTAGAAAATTAAATTGTAAATAAAATATTATATAAATAATAATAATTTCTTTTAAGCATGTTTTTAGCCCTTGCAGCACATCACTGAAAAGCAAATTTACTTAGGTAAAAGCACTCTTTTTGCAATAAGGAAAGGATCCAGAACAGGGGTCAACTCCTGTCCASAGCTCAAGAACACAAAAAATCATGGTGTGGCACATTTTACCCAAAGGTGCCAAGCCAGTTTGGACTTCGTTGTTGGTTTTTGGTTTTATTCTTTTTTTTTTAAACTTTACAAATACATCCTTTCACACAGCTACGTCTCCCACAACATTTTACTGCCACTAAAACAAGCAGCAAAGCACTTTTTTGAAAATATGGGGCCAAGTTACCTCTTTTCCCCACTTTTTGCCTGTTTTGTCCCACTGGAAGGCGTTCTCAGCCCCAGGTGCCWCCCTGCAGGATGCCAGCGGCTGAAGGTCACTGTCCCCTGTGTCCCCAGGTGTCCTTCAGGTACCACTGCCGGCTCTACAGCGAGTGGCGCCGCAACAACCAGCGCGTGATGCTGCTCGTCCCAAAGTCCTCCACCACCGTCCCCTCTGCSCAGCAGTCCCTGCTGGGCCTGCAGCCCCTCAAGAGGAGCTCCAAGGAGACAATCGTGTGAGCTGGGGTCGGATCGCCGTGGGACACGGGCACTGAGGATGCTTTYTTTGTCGGACTCGTCAGGGCTGGGCAGCGTCCGGAGCCCAGTAGTGTGATATTTCGATTTACAGAGGGATAAATCACTGGAATCAAAGTCGGCTTGGATGCTGCTCACTCGTGTGACATTTGCTGGGCTGCCAAACTTGTTTAGTTAGCAGGGACCCTATGGATTCTACAGACGTGTTAATTGTTGCATCATGTAGTGATGCAGATTTTTTTTTATTGTTTAAAGTATTAAACTGTGGTAATTAACAATGCAAAACAGGTTAAAAAAGYGCTTTGTTTTTATGATTTCTTGTTCCTACAGTACTATTCCTTTAGGCAGCTGGACAGTAACCAATATTTCTTTCTGCGTCCTAGAGCACAGCAATGGCATTTCATTTGATTTTATCTGCAGGTCCATTACACCAATGTTTTGATCATTAAAATCCATGTGTAATAAGTTCTACAAATTGGCACATTATTTAAATGCTACAAACTGATTAGAAAATTATCTTACCCATTTCCCATTTGGGAGGRAAGGTCTGAGAGGACCTTCAGTTATGAATTCAGCACGTGCCAAAGTAAAATTAGGCAGATTGCAATAATTTTCCTATCAAAARTATTATTGTACATTGCACTCAGGAGAAAAGTACTTTTCCATGCAGAAGCAACAAATTAGGCACCACATTCTTCCCTGAARTGCACATTCTGCTTGTGTGAGTTCAAACTCAGCCAATTTACTCTGCATTTACACCAAGCTGAATTTCACTCTGCTTTTGCATACAAATTAAATGAGATCATAGATAAGTTTTAGGAAAAAGGAACTCATCTCGCATGAAAAGTGGCACTATCTWAAAGCAGCAGAAAACTCCAGCTTGGCAGGCAGGATTTGGCAGAGTGTGTGCAAACCCTGACCTCTCATGGTAGCACTGAGACACCTTTTAAAAAATTTAACACAAGATTCTGTGGTGACCAAATCGAATTTGGAGAGTAAAGACCTGACTTTATTCCTGGGTGGCTTTACCCACTTCCCCTTGGGTTTATGCCCAATTTGTTCAGCAGTTCTTCACTCCCAGAAGAGACACACTTATGTAGAAATAGGCTTMTTTAAAATAACGACAGAAAATCTCATTACCAAGTGCTGCCAGAACCAGAAATCGATACAAAGCCCCTTTGCACAGATGAATTTCTTAGAAYCATGCATGGATGGCAACGCCACCATGTGTTTTGTTTTCCAAACTCTGCAGGAACTGAAAATCATAAGGAAGGCATAGCAGGAAGGCTAATAATTTGTTATTCATAAAGTTCAAGGTACTCTGGGTGTTCACCATCAGACAAGAAGTTATTTGATGTTTTTTTGCGTGCTCAGCAGGGGGTAAAAAAGCTTAGCACACAAAGCCAAATCTGTTAAGTTTCTTTATTATGTCTGTGCATGAGTCAGGCTGTGTTATTTAACAATGTTCTTTGTCAATCATGGGGATAGGAGAACCATGGGGATATAAAGAAAAAACAGCCTCATTCCAGCAGGAAGGTTCTTGCACAAGCCAAGGTGTGTAAGAAATCAGGAACCTGCAGATCTGTACCCAACAGTCTGACAAGGCTGGGGTTGGTCATGTTTGGCTGTGAATAACTGCTTCTCTTCCAGAGAAAATGTACAAGACTCTGAAGATTCAGATATCACAAAGTTTGTGATAGCCTAAAACTTGTAGTGCTGCTTTTTCTTTTTTTTTTTTTTTATTTTTAAACCTGTTCCCAAAGGTAAATAACTATCTGGATGGAAGACTGAACATGCACTTAAGCAGAGCTCCAGGTTAGAAGAAAATCTGCTGGCCAGGGGCACAGAAATAAAGGAAATCTGGCTGGKTTAGGACAGTGTTTTAATGCCTACACATAGCACTTTTGGTGAGCTTTCTTCAGAATTTTATTTCTGCTCTCGCTTCCCTGAAAGAATTGTTATTCTCAGTGAGCACACTGTTGTTGGGTTTGTTTCATGAAACCAAAAATTAGGGTGATACAGAATTAAACAGCAAAATATTCAGGAAAATATTTACTCAAGTCTGTGCACACAGATCAGCCCAGAGGTTCGGCCCAGCTCATCTTTCTATTTTTCTTTTTTGTGTRTAAAGACACTTTCTTTCTCTAAAGAAGGCGTATTGGAGCAGACTGAGAGTAAAGTCCAGTTTAGCACTGCATAACTAACCCAGTTTGTGTGCTTGGTGCAGAAGCACAGCAGAACTGTTTGGTGAAGCCACCAGAAGTGTCCTGTGGGTTTTCTTGAGGAAAGAAAAGTGGCAGGAAAAGATCCACTCAGACTGCTACCATTGCATCAAACCCATGCAGAAAAAAAAAAAAAGGGTATTCTTSCTTTTCCTACAACACAAGAACAGGGAGATGAGAGATGTTACTTCTTAATCCCACTTCTCAAGATTTACAGACAAAAGGATCTGCCAGATGGGAGCTGCTGTTTCTTCCATGAGCTGACCGTGCTGTCACATCAAGCTCAAAATTTCCATTAAAACTGGATCATCATAACAAATGTTCCACAGCARCAGCAATACCCAATTTTATCTGAACAAAGTGAAAGACAAAATCAACCGCAGCAGAAGCCACAGCCTGCAGAGCTCCTGGCAATACAACACCTCTGTTCTGCTCTCCTTAAAAAAATTAATTAAAGAACAAAAATTAATTAATGAAAGGATGAGTGACAGCCTTTTTTTTTAATTTAAAATGTCATCCAACTTCCCTCTGAGCAATTTTGTTTCCTTCTCATGCAGCTGACCTTGTCATTAACCTTCCTTTTCCAGATAAGAAGTTATATAGAAGGAACAGCACTCAACAGTGTTTGAGTAAGTATTTCAAGCTGCAAGKGATAAAAACAACTTATTCTGATTCACTGTGGAGAGTGCAGTGCAAAGTGAGGAAGTTTTACCTTTTTTACATGCTCCTTTCCCTGCAGGACTAGCCTATTTAATTAAATAAAGATTTAGAATCACCACAGCTTTCTGTTCCGCTGGAAGGAAGTCACAACAGATGCAGTATTAAAGATACTTAAAGTTTTGGTGTTGTTTGGGTTTTTTTTTTTTTGTTGCTCAACTTTGTGGTTCTGTCAGACTGAGAACTCAAACTGYCATTTACCTTTCATTTACTAAAACCAGCTTTGTACCAGTACGGTCACACAGGGCAAAGTGACAGCTCTGCAAAAAGGAACTTGGAGCCAATATGTGCAACTGACCTTTGATGCTATAGGTACCATCAGAAAGGGATATAAGGACAGATACTGAGACAGACTCACACACTGAAAGAGCTAAAGAAGCTCTCCCTTTTAAAAAAAAATCGTATTAATAATAAAATCTCTTCACTTGTTACTTTTTATGAGCTGGCACTTCATTTTACACAGAACTGGTTAATTAAAGAGGCATATCCTTGCTACAGAACTGAATATTGGGTATTCAGAAGCATCTTTAAAAGCTGCAGGGCGAACTTCTCACAGTTAAGGCTGGAAAAGACCTSTAAGATCGAGTCCCACCTCTGACCCAGCACTACCACATTCACCCMAAACCATGTCCACAAGTGCCACACMYGCAGGTTTTTTGAACATCCCTGRGMAGCCCATTCCACCCTTTCAGTKAAGTTTTCCCTAATGTCCAGTTTGAACCTGGTCTGGCATGGCAGGGGTGTTGTTGTGACCCGAGGGCAGGGCCCAGCCTGTCCAGAGCCCCCTGCAGAGCCCTCCACCCCCTCCTCCAGACCAATAAAGGTAATAAACACACCTTGTCCCAGAGCAGCACATCCTGATGATGGCACAACACTAATCCACAGCGTTATTCCACATACCAAATTCAGTTTCAGGTGCATTTCCATGTAATACAGCTTTTCCAGAAACCCAGAGCTGCATATTTCAGTCCTAAAATTGCTTTCAAGTCTTAAATCTTTTTCCTGACTGCCTCGYCACACCTGTTTGTGGCAACAAAACGTGTCCCCCACTTTGGTGTTGAAAGATTATAGAACTGACAGGAATTTCCTGCAACTCACATTCTAACTATACCAAATACTTTCCCAATAAAATCTAGCAAAAAAAGAGAATTAAGGTTGACATTCTCTGCACAAAACGSCCTCAGAAGCAACAGCAAAACATGCCACCTTCAAAACCAAGATGCTGCAGTTGCAGGGGAAAAACCAGTGTTACAAAATCATCCCATGGCTTTTATTACACAGGTTATACATATATTTTTTATATATAAAATATGTATATTGGCAAGCAAGTTAAGATTTGCTTGCCAATAATTCTTTTTGGTCTGAAACTGCACAATAGCTATGAAAATTCACATCCAGGAGTTAAATGCAGGAAAATTCTATCAATCAAACAGCTCAAGCTGCAGTGTGCCTTCCTTTATTGATCCCCCAAATGTAACTTTTCTTCAGGATTAATCACATTGTGTTTTTGTCACACTCAAGTGGGTTTTTATGCAAACCCACAAAAAAGAAAACAGGAGAGCAGCAAAAGATTGAGCAATAAATGCACACCAGGCAAAACCTGGAATAAAATAGCCAACTTCTACCATAATCCTGTCATGGATCTAGTTGAGTATTATAAATAATAAAGTGTTCCAGCATTTCATATGCCTGGAAAGGCTAAAGAGGCATTCATATCCATCACACACAKCCTCCACTCCCTTTCTAAAAAATCACCAATTCTTACCTGTTGTCCCCATTGGGACAAGGGCTTTAAAAACTTCTATTCTTCATCGAATACTTGCTTTCTTTGCCTGGAGAAAAACACTTCATAGTTATCACGTGGCCATTTCTGCAAAAGCAGCAGCATTTTTTTTTCCTACTAAAGTACAGATACTGCTTACAGTGCAGTATGAATATGAAAGGCACTCTTTCACAGATAAAAACCATCCTTTTCAATCCAGAAACCCTCAAATTAGTATCAAAATGATACACTGATAAGACAAATCATTCACGGAAAAATTAAAACTGGGACCAGCGTATAAAATTGCATAATTTACAGAAGGAAATTAATAATTAGCATCTGTTGAACAGAATTCACATATTAATTTCTTTGAACATATGCTGCTCTCTGCTTGGACAAATGTGATGCAGGTGTAAGAATCAGGGACAAGGAAATCCAGAGCAAAAGACAATTTTTAGCACAAAACTGCTGTCAATAACTCTGCAAACTAATTTGCACCGATTCTGATCACACCAGGGCTTTTATCATGTCAACTGTCAACAAAAGAAGGCAATTTACAGATTTGCTGCACAGGTCAAACCACTTGTTTCCTAAACAAATTCCTCATCAGTTTTGTTGCAGGCATGAGTGTGAAACATTCCTGGTAAAAGTGTTTATCCAGTTACAAGCAGTAAATTGCTAAAGGGTTTTCACCTGAAGAGCGATGCAATTTGTGTCTTATGCCAGTATCAGACAAGGATAACCAAGATATTTTGCCAGCTCTAGGAAGGGCTGGATGCACCTAAAAATTATTGATGTAAAAGTAGCAATAAAAAGAGACACCAAAATTTT